GGAGAGGGGGACGTTTGAATGTAAATTTCTATATTTTTCTACTAATAGAGAGTAAATATAAATATTTCTCAAATATAAAACAGCAAACAATGCGTCCAACAATACAAGCGTTTCTTTCATAGATAAATAAGGAAAAGTTCGTCATACTTGATAAGTTAAAAGTTAAAAGGGTACCGTTGTGAATCAGGGATGCTCCTCTTTAAACGGAAGGTCACTTGAAACTACATTTACAGTCTCTTAAAAATGACTGCTTGCAAGCTGCAAATAGTCATTTCATTTCTACCAGTTTTCTCTGCTAAGACGACATTTTTAACATTCTTAGAGACAAATGTTGATTACGAAGGAGAGTGTTCTGATTTTATTTTTATTCCATTTAACTCTTATAACAGGTAAATCTAAACGGGCTTAAATTAAATAATCTCAATTAAAGGGACCGTTTACATAATTTTAGAATATCGTCGTTTTTTCACCTTAATAAAAAAGATATATTCTGTCAATTTCCTTTCTTTTCTCCGCTGTGTAATTTCCTGAGTAGCTTTTAAAGAAAAACATTGATTTCAAATGAGATACGAGAACATTAGATTGAGAATCAGACATTTCATTTTTTAAATCGAGAGTACCTTAAATAATTATGTTACTTTGTCTCTTTAAGCATTTTTGTCTAAAAAAAGAATTTATAACGATTTTAAAGAACTAGAGCAGAAAGTTAACCGTCAGGATATTTTTCAGGAAAATGTACGCAAGATTCTGGTGTATTTTGCCTAAGCCCGAAATTTAAAAGAGTATCGTTGAACGAAACTTCCGAGTTTCCTTTTTGGGGTCTTGGCAATTGTGTAGATTTTGATTTAAGAAATTTTAAAAAATGAAGAATGTGAAGAAACTTAATAAAATAATATTTCACAACAAAAATATTGATATCCACAAAACTGCCTAACCCCATTCTTGAAACCCGGGTTTCAAAACTGGTTTTCATAACGATACCCTGTCTTAAGTTTTGGGCTCTAGTCAACTACACTGATCATTGTTATTAGTTGCAGTACGTGGAAAAGGGATATGAAAATAAACAAACATTTCGTGGCTTTATTCATGGTCTAAATTTGGGTTGTAAAAAGAATTGTAACTTTTTCTTCACCTTAATTGTACATGATAAAATGGTAAATGAAGACAACTTCTCATAATTATACAGTGCTCCCCAGAATAAAATGGTAAGCATTGACTACTTTTCAAAATATACACTACAGTGCTTCCCAAAAAAAAATAATAATCATTGAAAACTTCTCTTAAATATACAGTTCTCCTCAAAGTAATATGGTAAGCATTGAAAACTTCTCTTAAATATACAGTTCTCCTCAAAGTAATATGGTAAGCATAGACGACTTCTCTTAAATATTCAGTGCTCCCCAAAGTAATATGGTAAGCATAGACGACTGCTCATAAATATACAGTGCTCCCCAAAATAATATGGTAAGCATAGACGACTGCTCATAAATATACAGTGCTTTCCAAAATAAATCTTCTTTTCTCACTTTCTCTTTCTTCCTTTTTTTTCTCTTCTTATTTCTTCCTTCCATTTACAGTAACATACAGTAATAAAATGGTGAAGTGAAGACGAATTTATTTAATATGCAATCTTTTTTCAAGAAGCACTTATATTTATGAAAAGTAATCATCATTTACCATATTATTTTGGGGAGCACTGTATATTTATGAGCAGTCGTCTATGCTTACCATATTATTTTGGGGAGCACTGTATATTTAAGAAAAGTAATTGTCTTTATTTACCATTTTATGATTTAGGTGAAGAAAAAGCTACAATTCTTTTTGTAACCCAATTAGACCATGAATAAACACCCCTGCCCCCCACGAAATGTTGGTTTATTTTCATATCCCTTTTCCACGTACTGCAACTAATAACAATGATCAGTGTAGTTGACTAAGCAAAATACACACGTCAGAATATAGCGTACATTTTCCTCCAAATGTCCTGACGGGGAAAGTTAAGTGCAGGTTTCTTTTAATTCCTAACAAAGCATAAAAACCATTGTCTAAATTATAAAAAAAAATTATTCGAACTCACTCCACTAATTTAAAAATTTTAAACTTTTGGTAATTTTGATATCGTTTATAATTTTATTAAATTGTAAATTATCAATGGAAATCAAATGTGTATTTTTCATGTTTTAGATTATGAATTATTTAGATGCTTGTACAACCAATCATAAATTTGGAGGTCCCTGTATTTTCCCGTATAGGTTTAAGGTAAAAAATATAGAAAATTGTTTAAATTATATAAAAAGCCATCGTTCTTTAAAAGCGCTTTTTTGCATACAAATGCAAATAAAATTCAGTATTATTGTTTTATTGTAATTGTAATAATATAATTAATTTTCAGCTTTTATAGGGAGAGATATTTTTCACGTGTACTGTTCAATTTAATAAAGAGGTTAGTTTTTTATTCATAAACTAAAATAAACCCATCATATGAATTATTTTTCGTCTTTTTTCACTATTTGAAAAATCTTGTTTTTTGATTTCTCTTACCAGGAATATGGTAAAATAAGTTGAAATATTTTATACCCCTCCAAAAACAAATACCGTAAATTCTAAATAATGTCATTATTTGTTTTTACTAAGTCACATCTAAACAGCCTCTAAAAACTCCTACTTTTGGGGTGGATACGTTTTCATAATTAGATTTTTTTCAATTATTAAATAATGACGACAAAAAAATGTAAATAAAACTCTACAGTAAATAATTAGTTGTTTAGAAACCGGTTGGGAAAATGAAAATTAATCTTTTCGTCAAAAACAAGTAATCTTGTTCAATTATTAGTTTCTATTTCCTCATTATTCTAGTTCTCATTATTCACAAACATTTTCTGCAGATTTTCTTGAATTATCATTGAAAAGACGACATTTAAAGAATTTTAAGAAATCTGCGAATAAATTCAAAGAAAATAAGAAATTATATATAATGATGAAAAGGAAATAATTGATTCTAGCATTGATTTATTGATTTATTGTCAAATTTCTTTTGAGTAATATGTTCCTAACCATCTAATTAGATTACTGTAAAAGTTTTTCTTTAGTTTTCGTCGTCGTTATTTAGTAATTTAAAAAAATCCGATTCTGATAACGTATCCACCCTGCAACTCAGTTCAACTACCTTACATAGCCGGACTCTCCCTTTAAAGGGTATTGCCATTATTGCATGAAGGGTCACTTGAAATTACGTTTCCAGTCTCTTTGTAGGAACTAACCTTGTAAACCCCAATATATATCAGGAAGGAGTTGTTCCAATGTGTCCTTTAGTTGTAGACTTAGTATCCCTGGAACCATCAAACCAGGTCAAAACAAAACAATTGTGGGGCAATGTATAAATAAATATATCATTATTTTTAAAATAGATTTTCAATTTAGAAATAACAACAAATATATTATTTCTATAATTCTCTAAAAATGAAGGTTTACAGGGAATGGCCTTGAAATTTCAATTGACCTTCCATTGAAGCGGTATTCTTTACAACTTTAGCTAATCAATAATGTGAAAGATATTGTTGTGTTTCTACAGTAAAAACTTAAATAAGCCATACATCTAAAGAATTCATCAAATGTCGTATTCTTCACTTTCTGATAATGGAATGTTGCAGATATTTAGTTTTTAATTAAATGATTATATGGAGCTCTTTAGAACTGTTCCAGAATATTCATTGTTATTTATTTATTTTTGCTGAGATTACTGAGATTTACGGAAAATAGAAATAACCCATTGAAAAATTGTCAAGACGACATTTGATAAATTCTTCCGATGTATGTTTTATTTAGAGTTTAACTCTTGCAAATTCTCAACATTTTCTTCATTCCTTTTGCACAAAAACTCCCCAAGTTCCTTTTAAATTAAACTACAGTTAAAGATTTCAATGATACGAAATACAAAGACTGTTTTTACTGTTAGCGAGAATTTACTGGGAAAAACTGACAACTTCATGGCCGAGTGTGGAAATTTCATCAAGAGTGTGTTTCTTTTTGTGATTTGTTTAGCTCCTTCTTGTTTTTTTTTCGCGCCGATATTTAAATAACTTGTTATTTTTTATCAATTCAAGGTGAAAGATTGGGGAAAATGTAACAAGGATTGTCCGATGAGAAGATATCTGAGTAACAGAGATATCCAGGATATCATTTCGAACCTTGCTTTATCCAATCCAACCTTAGCTCAGACATACAACCTAACACACAGGTATATCCATAATAAGATATCTTAGTAGCAAGGATATCCAAGATATCATTTCCAACCTTGCTTTATCCAATCCAACCTTAGCTCAGACATACAACCTTACACACAGGTATATCCATAATAAGATATCCTAGTAGCAAGGATATCCAGGATATCATTTCCAACCTTGCTTTATCCAATCCAACCTTAGCTCAGACATACAACCTAACACACATGTATATCAATGAGAAGATATTAAAGTAGCAAGGATATCCAAGTTATCATTTCCAACCTTGCTTTATCCAATCCATCCCTATAGCTCAGACATACAACCTAACACACAGGTATATCCATTATCCATGACAAGATATTTAAGTAGCAAGGATATCCAAGATATCATTTCCAACCTTGCTTTATTCAATCCAACCCTAGCTCAGACATACAACCTAACACACAGGTATATCCATGGGAAGAAATCCAAGCAACAGTGATATCCAAGATCGTCAGCAAATTTCTATTGGAGTGAATTCGATATGTCGAAGTGTCTTTGCAAATTTTCAAATATTTCGAACCCAACTTTAGAAATAAAATTCTTCAAAATAGTTCCGTGTTTAAGGTCAGTGCTTGGTGAGGACCTGGTTGCAATAAGGCTGACTGCCAATGCTGATAAACCTAGACCTTTGCTTAAACCATTGGTAGGCCTCATATGCTCATTGCACAAAACATTTATACAGTATACATAACACATTAGTGAAATCATTGTACAATCCGAACCAGTTCAAGGATTTACAGTTTTAAATAATCGTTCCGTATACACATTTACTCGTATACCAGCCCGTATAATGTATAAATTGTGTGTAATGGACCCAGTGCGTTTTAAGCAACAATGTAGGCTAACTAAATCCATGTGATCCTATTTATTTTTAAAAACAATAACAAAGATTGTAAACAATTGTCATAATTTTTCTGAGCAAGGTTGGTAAATCCTTATTCCAAAAAGTCCTAATAAAAAATCCAATTTATCAACTTAGTGCTTTACTCACATTGAAACCAAGAATTACAATAGGAACTGCTCTCATAGTTATGTTTACAATGTGTATACTGCTGTTTTGTTTACAAAGTGTACTGCAGTTTCTAAATCTAGCGGTAATGTAAACAAAGGAACCCAGAACCAGCAATTTAAAAGAAACGAAACTCCCGAGTTTCCTTTTTGGAGTTTTAACATTTGTGTAGATTTTGATTAAATTGATTCGAAAAAATTATGATAATTATGAGCAACAAAATAAAATAGCATATATAATATACAGGGTGTCCCAATAAACATGGGAATTCAGTGACGAATTCGATATCGTCTTTTTAGATAATTTTTTGATTTAGTTTAGTGATACCTTCTGAGAAAGCTGTAACGTAAGATTTTCGTCTGCTATGTTCATATTTTGTTTGTTTACGTTTTGACTGCATACGGTTGTACTTAATAAAATCAAGAAAATTGCAGTATACAAACAGAGTAAACTTGTCCGTCGATCACTGTTCATCTTGCGGAGACATTATAGACACATCTTTACAATCTTTTACCCTTTTCATGAAATAAACTCTAGCAGACATAATAATATTATGGCTTTTGAAATTAGGTATTACAATGCTAATTCATAACAAAGACGATGTCCAATTCGTCAATGAATTCCCTGTATATCCACAAAACTGCCTAATCCTATTCATGAAACTCGTGTTCCAAAACAGGTTTTCCAAACAATACCGTGTCTAAAGTGCTCAGAAACTGTACTGTACTTTATTTGTGAACAAGACATTGCAGTTCCCACAATAAAATACATTTTTGGTACAACTTTGTCACATCGTAGCTCCTCGTAGTTCTAATTTTAAACACAAAAACAACTTTTTGTTTTCTCAATAGCTCAGCAGTAAGAGGAGTTATTATTAACAATATAAAATTGGATTGTTATTTACCTTCCTTCGTTCATTCGTTCATTGTTATTTACCGTCCTTGGTTCATTGCTTGAGTGTTATTTACTGTCATTCGTTCATTCCTTGATTGTTATTTACAGTCCTTGGTTTATTCCTTTATTGTTATTTACCGTCCTTGGTTCATTCCTTGATTGTTATTTACCGTCCTTTGTTTAATCCTTAATTGTTATTCACCGTCCTTGGTTCATTTCTTGATTGTTATTTACCGTCCTTGGTTCATTCCTTGATTGTTACTTACTGTCCTTGGTTCATTCCTTGATTGTTATTTACCGTCCTTGGTTTAATCCTTAATTGTTATTTACCGTCCTTGGTTCATTCCTTGATTGTTATTTACCGTCCTTGGTTTAATCCTTGATTGTTATTTGCCGTCCTTGGTTCATTCTTTGATTGTTATTTACCGTCCTTGGTTCATTCCTTGATTGTTATTTACCATCCTTGGTTCATTCTTTGATTGTTATTTACTGTACTTGGTTCATTCCTTGATTGTTACTATTTGTTAAGGTTCGATTGAGCGCCAACATGCATGGCAACGAAGTTGTCGGTCGAGAAATACTAGTTGAGCTAGCTAAGCTACTAGTTCATGGATATAGCTTAGATACTAGGATTAGGTAATATATAGAAATACTAGTTGAGATAGCTAGCTAAACTACTAGTTCATGGATATAGTCTAGACTCTGGATACTAGGATTAGATAATATAAAGAAATAGTTATCAAACAAATATGATAAAATACATAATATATTATAAAAGGAATGTAATGGATAATAAACAAATAAGGACTGTAATGATAATATATTATATAATAATATATTATCAAATTAATAGAATGGATAATATATTATTAAAGGAATATAATGAATAATATATTATTAAAGGACTTAAATGGATAATATTTTAATACGAAATATAATAGATAATGTATTAATAAAGGAATATAATGGATAATATATTATTAAAGGAATATAATGGATAATATATTATTAAAGGATTATAATGGATAATATATTATTAAAGGATTATAATGGATAATATATTATTAAAGGAATATAATGGATAATGTGGAGGTTCACCTACTTCCTACCATGAACCCAGATGGTTTTAACAGGTAACCTTGATAAGATCATTTCTCCCCAACTCTTTATGTCTTTTATATTATTTATGTCTATATATAAAGAAGTAATATCTGTTTGTATGTCCGATCATAACTTTAAAACCCCAAGAATGCTAAGTCTCAAAGTTGTATTCTGTTTCTCGGTAGAACCACGAGAATGTACTTAGCTTTTTTGAGTGGGTAGACTTTTATAGAGAAAGTTTAGTTTCCAGACAATTCTGGGTTGAGTGGGTAGACTTTATAGAGAAAGTTTAGTTTCCAGACAATCCTGAGTTGAGTGGGTAGACTTTTATAGAGAAAGTTTAGTTTCCAGACAATTCTGGCTTGAGTGGGTAGACTTTTATAGAGAAAGTTTAGTTTCCAGACAATTCTAGCTTGATTGGGTAGACTTTTATAGAGAAAGTTTAGTTGAGCGGGTAGACTTTTATAGGGAAAGTTTAGTTGCTACACAATTCTGAGTTGAGTGGGTAGACTTTTATAGAGAAAGTTTAGTTTCCAGACAATTCTGGGTTGAGTGGGTAGACTTTTTTAGAGAAAGTTTAGTTTCCAGACAGGGTTGAGTGCGTAGAATTTTATAGAGAAAGTTTAGTTTCCAGACAGGGTTGAGTGCGTAGACTTTTAAAGAGAAAGTTTAGTTTCCAGACAATTTTGGTTTGAGTGGGTAGACTTTTATAGAGAAAGTTTAGTTTCGAGACAATTCTGAGTTGAGTGGGTAGACTTTTATAGAGAAAGTTTAGTTTCCAGACAATTCTGGGTTGAGTGGGTAGACTTTTATAGAGAAAGTTTAGTTTCCAGACAATTCTGGGTTAAGTGCGTAGACTTTTATAGAGAAAGTTTAGTTTCCAGACAATTCTGGTTTGAGTGGGTAGACTTTTATAGAGAAAGTTTAGTTTCGAGACAATTCTGAGTTGAGTGGGTAGACTTTTGTAGAGAAAGTTTAGTTTCCAGACAATTCTGGGTTGAGTGGGTACACTTTTATAGAGAAACTGCTGTTGCCTATAAGGATTTTTTTTTTCATATAAGAATGGAAATAAGTTTTGTTCATGATTCCAATATTAATTGAATTTACATTATTTTCATATGATTAGACTGATATAAAAATGATAAAATCATGGTGATTATTTTTAGAGCAACCATTGGGTCGTGTGGTGGTCAGGATTTTCTATCTGGAAGGTATTTTTTAAACATACAGCAATTGATGTGTTTCCACAACCTCCAATTTTCTAATCTTTACATCTTTGCAGGTTGATGGTTAAACCTTTGATATTTCTAACTTAGAATATTTCATCATAGCAGAATTTAGTTGGATATAATCAAAGTCAAATCAATTGGGTGAAGCTATGATATAGGTATTTGAAAATCAGAGTTTGTGGCAAAAACTCAATTCCTTAACCTTGAATATTATAGAGCTTGAAGGTACTGTGAGCGTATAATCGTAAAATCTATTTAACACTATTACTGCTGGGGGGGGGGGGGGGGGAA